AAGGGAGGAGGAGGAGAGGTGTGCCACCAGGGCCAGAGAGAGGCTCACATTCTCCATACTGTTCTGTCGCAGGGAACACCAGGCCTGCCAGGCCCTGTTGGACCCAAAGGAGAGCCTGGACCCATGGGGCCCCCTGGACAGGTGATCGCTGACCCCCGGACTCCCACCACTCTTTTGGTGCTGGCTGCTGGCTGGGGGGCTGGGGGTGGGGTTGGTGGTAGGAGACTGGCTACCTCCCTGAGCATTCCGCCCCCCAGGAGGTGGTTGGACTCCCTGGAGCAAAAGGAGAGAAGGTAAGTGTGTGTGTGTGAGGCTGGGGTGGGGGGGGGGTAGGCGTGGAGTGGGGCGCAGAGCCCCTGACCCCTCTGTCTTCTCAGGGAGCCCCCGGAGGACTTGCTGGAGACCTGGTGGGCGAGCCGGTGAGTGTGGAACTTCTGATGGCAGGTAACCTCTGCCCACAGCACATGACCTTTAATACCCATCACTGTCCCCACTCCTGACCCCTGGCCTCTTGCCCCTTCCTGGTGTTCCCTCTATCTGTGGCCCTGTGGCCGACCTTGACCCCTGACCCCCATTTCGACAGGGACCCAAAGGCGACCGAGGACTACCAGGGCCTCGGGGGGAGAAGGTGAGTGGGGCCTGGCTTGGGGTCTGTGCTGGGCAAAAGGGGTGTGGTGGGTAGCCCCTTACCATCCCTCCCATGCAGGGTGACACCGGACGTGCAGGGGAGCCTGGAGATCCTGGGGAAGATGTGAGTCTGGGGTCTGGGCCAGCCTGAGCCCCATGTGGGGGGTTGGAGCATGATTATGGATGAAGGGGCTTGGTGGGCAGGGGCCTGTGCACCTGTCGGAACCTCTGAGCTTGATCACACCCTCCCCTGGGGTGGCAGGGACCCACCCCTCGAGGATCCCTCAGGATCATGCGTCCTTGATTTCCACACTCCCGGGGGTTGGAAACCCCCTCTCTGCCTGCACACGTCTGTCCTTTGCTCTGCTCCTCATCTGTGTGGGGAGCACCTGTGTGTCCCTGTCTGACAGCCCCACTCTCAGGACACATCTGAATTTGTGTGGGCCAAGTGTTTCTCATCCTGTCCCCCAGCCACCCAGCCTGTGTCCCACGGTCACTTCCCACGTGTGGGATTTTGGTCATACCAAAGCCACCCCAGAGGGCTGGGGCTGGGGCATGTCTGGCTCTGTCTTCATCCGTGCCCTCTCATTTGGGCCTCAGGTCACGAAGCCCCTGGGAGCCAATCCAGGTGTCTGGGACTTCAGGTCCCCTGGAGCCCCTGGGCCGAGCCTCATCACTGAGGTCACGTTCCTCTCCTCTCAGTTGCCGCCAACTTTTTCTTTCTAGGGTCAGAAGGGAGCCCCAGGACTGAAAGGTTACAAGGTATTGTGCTCTAAAGAGTGCCTGCTGGGGCTCGGGTCTAGAGGCTCCTGGAGCCTGGTCTGACCCTCCTTTCCCTCAAAGGGTGACCCAGGTGTCGGCATGCAGGGTGCTCCTGGGCCGATTGGTGCTCCCGGTATGAAGGTAAGCCGATGTCTGTCACTAGGGGCAGAGAGGACCCTGGGGTGGGGAATAGGGCATCTGGGTTCAGTCTTTGGGGGCAGGGGGAGTTGCAGGGCCCACACCTCCCCTTGATGTCTCTGTTTCAGGGAGACTTGGGCCTCCCCGGCCCCCCCGGCCCTCCTGGTGTCGTGGGGTTCCCTGGTCAGACAGGCCTTCGAGGAGAGACAGGCCAGCCAGGTCTTAGCGGAGAGCGGGTGAGCAGTTGGAGCAGCCTGTGGCACGTGGGACCGGCGTGGGACCGGCGTGGGACCGGCGTCAGGATGTCTGAGTTCTAGGGTCCGGGCACTGTCTTGGGGACTCTCATTTTTGCCCCTCTGGCTTCCTTCTTGTGGTAGGGGCTGGCAGGCACCCCGGGAAGAGAAGGAGCCCCAGGCCCTGTGGGGCCCCCTGGCCCCCCGGGCTCAGTGGTGAGTACAGCTCCTCTGAAGGCCCCAGGTGTCTGATTCTCCGGGTGTCTGTGTGTCCGTCTGTCCTCGGGCGGGCACGCTGGCACCGTACGTGGTTGGGTAGGTTCCTGCAGTTCTGCGGGGCGACAGGAGCCCCCCTCACTTGCTCTGACCCGCAGGGAGCACCAGGGGCCTCTGGATTCAAAGGAGACAAGGTAGGAGGGGAGTGCTGCTGGTTTCTCTGCCGCCTCTGTGGACCCCCTCTGACTTCCGCCCGCCTGCCCGCCACCCGCCCAGCTGTGCCCCCATCCATCCCCATCCCCTGATGTCCCCGTGACCCCACTGACCATAGTGTCCCTGCCCTGGTCCCCAGCCCCTCTCTGTCCTCCTCACTCATCCTGGTGTTTGCTGGTCCCCAGGGAGACCCTGGAGCAGGACTGCCGGGAGCCCGGGGAGAGCGAGGGGAGCCAGGCGTCCGGGTACGTGGGGCATACTGTGGGGGGAGCTCAAGGGGTGCCTCCGGCCTCTGGTCCCCAGCCTTGGACTCACTGAGCCCTCTGTCCCTGTCCAGGGTGAAGACGGCCGGCCCGGTCAGGAGGGCCCTCGAGGACTCGTGGTGGGTGTCCTCAGGGAGGTGCCCTGAGGCCTGCCTGTCCTTCCCGACTGTCCCTCAGGGGACAGTGTGCAGTCCATTCCCCACCCCCCTTGTCCATGCTCTAGTCTTTGTCTCCCTTGCTCCCCCAGACCCCCTCCTCCTGAGTGTCCCCCAGAAATCCCTCCACATTCCCCCAGCCCACGGTCTTCTTCTCTTGACAGGGCCCCCCAGGCAGCCGTGGGGAGCGTGGGGAGAAGGTCAGTGTGGGAATTGGATCCGGGGGAGGGGGTGCTGAATGGGAGTGGGGTGGGCCTTGCAGTTCAGAGCTGGGGCTTCCCAGTTTAGGCCGGACTCATGTTTCCACCCGTAGGGCGATGCTGGCTCTGCGGGCTTAAAGGGCGACAAGGTGAGTGTTGGCGGAGGGGGGGCAGGAGCGGGGATGTGCGGTGACCCTGACTCCTCTGACGGCCCCTTGCTCCCCAGGGCGACTCCGCCGTGATCGTGGGGCCTCCGGGGCCACAAGGTGCCAAGGGAGACACAGTGAGTGGGCTTGGCCCTGGAGGAGTCAGTTTCTCTGGATTTGAGGAGGGACCCCGCCACCTGAGAGCCCAAGACCACAAAGGGGGGAGGGTGCCCCAGCCCTGACCTGACCCTGACCCTGAGCCCTGATCCTTGACCCAGGGCGAACGAGGGCCTCGGGGCATAGATGGCGACAAAGGACCTCGGGGAGACATCGGGATCCCTGGAGAGAAGGTATGGGGAAGAGGGTAGGGTACTCTGTCACCGGTCAGGAGGGGTTTCTGTGGGTTGTGGGGCCCCCCTGGGGCCTTGGAGGGCAGAGAGGACTCTAGAGGGCCACAGGGGAACTTCTCAGGTCGTGCCAGGGGAGCTTTCAGGGTGCTATGAGGAGGGGGCTCTCAAGAGGGCTCTAGGCTTTGGGGAGAGGTCAGGTGGGACTCTGTGAGGAGGAGGAGGGGCTTCTTGGGTGCTCAGGATTCTGGGGGTTCGTGGAGAGAGGGTCAATGGTACGGGGTGGGCCAGGAGGAGGCAGGGTGTCCCGGGTGAGAAAGGAGCCCCTCTCTGGGCTGCAGCCTCACTCTCTCTGCAGCACCAACATGGGCAAGAAAGGGTGGCCACTGCGGCCAGGCCATCGCGGGAGTGATACTGGGCTTCCCTGCCACAGCTGGTGGATCCCAGCCAGACACCCAGTCTGCATCCTAGCCCAGCCCTGAAAGTGGCCCCCTCTCGGTCATTCCACAGGGCACCAAGGGGGAATCTGGGGACAAGGGCTCTGCTGGGTCGCTGGGAGTTCGTGGACCCGTGGGACCCAAGGCAAGTCCACACCTGTGCCACAGCCCTCCCCCTTCACTGCTGTCCACATGCATGTTCACATGTGGCCTATGCGTGGCCCCAGAGTCACTTGTGCTGCATGAGCAGCGGATCAGGGGTACAGGTTAGAAGCCCCCGGTCCCCTCTGACTCGTGTATCCCACAGGGAGAACCCGGTGCTGAAGGGATCCCTGGTGACCTGGTAAGGATGCCCTACTCCCACCTCTGTCCCTACAGGGCCGCTCACGTGGTAGCTGGGACCTTACAGGGACTCCCTGCTCTCATGGGGGGGTGTCTTCAGCTTGCCTGGGGGACCCCACGGGCGCAGGAACCTTCTCTGGGGGTTCTGCCTGCGTCGTGACCCACTGCCCATGATGCCTCCTGTCCCCATGGACAAGTCTGAGCCTGATGTCACTCCTGACCCCGACTTCCCGGTGATCCTTTGGTACCCCCAGTCTTCCCTGCCTCACACAGACTACTCTCCCCGCAGGGACCCCCAGGGAAAGATGGAGTCCCTGGAGTCCGGGGGGACAAAGGAGAGGCCGGCTTCATGGGTCCCCGGGGCCTCAAGGTGAGGAGGATTGGGGTGGGAGGCTCTGGGGTTAGAGGGCGAGCTCTCTGGAGCCCCAGGTGAGAGATCTGGGCCAGATGTCGGGGTACCTGGGGTTGGTTCCTTGTGGGGCAACAGGCCAGAGGCGGGAGTGACTGGGGCCACTTTGGAGCCTGGGTTGAGGGTCAAAGGGTGAAATACCTGCAGGGTGATTTTGCCTTTGCTCTCCTCCCTCAGGGTGAGCGTGGGGTGAAGGGGGCCTGCGGCCTCGATGGAGAGAAGGGAGACAAGGTACAGATGTGGGGCTTGGGGGCCGGGCGTGGGCAAGCAGGGCCCGGGGCTGAGGGCTGACCTCGCTGCCTGGCACCTTCAGGGAGAAGCTGGTTTCCCAGGTCGCCCTGGGCTAGCGGGACGCAAAGGAGAGACGGTGAGTGGAGGGGGCACCTCCACAATGGGAGTGGGGGGCGGGGAGGGAGGTGTGTGGCCCTGGACCCGACTCACACCCCTCCTCTTCTGCAGGGGGAGCCAGGCATGCCCGGCCAATCAGGGGCCTCTGGAAAGGAGGGCCTGATCGGCCCCAAGGTACGGGGCCTCTGGACAATGGATTGCATGGGATGATGTCAGGGTGGGCAGCGAGGGTTGGGGCCAAAGCAGGCCCGACACTAGGGTATCCAGAGGGTCTGCCCTTGGGCTTTCAGGTTCTAGAGCAGAGGTCACGAGGACTGAGGGTTAAAAGCTAGCATGCAGGGCAGTGGTGTGGTTGGTGCTGTGGACCAGGGCCCGGGGCCACAGGGGGAGGGTTGGAAGGTCCGTCTAAGCTAAGGAAGTGGGTGGAGTCAGAGCTATGAGTCTTACAGTGGGGACTGGTGGGGGTCACGGCAGATGGAGGGTCCTGGGTGGGTAGGGTCCCTGGTCCCAGGTCCCAGGAGGCTGGGCTGAGCGAGGTCAGGGCGGAGGGTCTCTCACACATCTTCTGTCCCTAGGGCGACCGAGGCTTTGATGGGCAGCTGGGACCCAAGGGTGACCAGGGCGAGAAAGGGGATCGGGTGAGTTCCTGCCCGGGGCACAGTGCATCGAGGGGAATGTGCTCCTTGGGGACAGGCACATTTCTGGGGGCTCTGACCCCTCCCCTTCATCTGCCTCTCTCCAGGGACCCCCAGGAATGGGGGGCTTCCCAGGCCCCCGGGGCACAGATGGCTCTAGTGGTCCACCTGGGCCACCTGGCAGTGCTGGTCCCAAAGGTCCGGAAGGGCTTCAAGGCCAGAAGGTGAGACGCCCCGCACTTTGACCCTTGACCCCGGAGCCACCCTGACCCCTAGCCCTACCACTCCTCCCCCAATCTCCCTGACCCAGCCTCTGAACCCCTGACCCCCAGCTTTCCTGACTTCGGACCCTGCTGGTTTCTGACCCTATATGCTTGGTCCTCTTGTCTGACAGGGTGAGCGGGGACCCCCGGGAGAGAGTGTGGTGGGGGCCCCTGGAGCTCCTGGGACCCCGGGCGAAAGAGGGGAGCAGGTGAGTCAGGACTGTTGGCCTTGGATTGAGGGGTCAGTGGACCCTCTGGTGTCCCTGAGGTCAGAGGTTACAGCCTGGTTCCATCTGTGCCACACAGGGACGGCCGGGGCCCGCTGGTCCCCGAGGAGAGAAAGGAGAGGCCGCATTGACCGTGAGTGGGGCTGGGCTGGGCTGGGCTGGACCCTGAGCTGCTGCTGCCCCTCCACGACCCCCACATCCTGTGTCCTTGCCCTGGTCTGTGGGTGCTTCATGCCGCCTGCGCTCCTGTCTCCCAGGAGGCTGACATCCGGGGCTTTGTGCGGCAGGAGATGAGTCAGCACTGTGGTGAGTGGGTACCACTGACAGGGCAGGGAGGGTTCCCAGCCCTAACAGGCAGCCAGCCACCAAGGAGATGGGCGGCGGAGTCCAAGGGCACATATGCTGGGGGGCAGTCCAGCTGCTGACGTGACACCCCCAGCAGACAGACACACACTAATGGGTGGCCATCCGGACAGGCCTTACCTTGGGCAGATGTGGGTGGACAATGGGACACTGATGGGGCCCCCCCGCTGTCAGAAGGGGAGAGGGGACGATGGGCAGAGCCCACAGGCAGGTGGCGGTACAGGAAGCCACACGTCCTGATAGACGCCGGCAGGTGACACAGCAGCTGCTGGGGCGTCCTTGTTCTTGGATGCCCAGTGTGGGTGTGGCAGCGGGCAGGGGGCAGATGGGGAGGGGTGTGTGGAGCCAGGCAGGCAGGCAGGCAGGCGGTGGGTGACGGCACTGAGGGCCTGAGGAGGGGAGCACCTCTGCCCATCTCTACCTGCGCCTGCTGACCCTGTCCCTTGCCTCTCCCGCCCCCTCTCCTCTGCCTTGTCCCTGTCTCTGTCTCTTGCCCTTTGCTGGCGGCCCCGATCTTTCCTCTGTTCTACTTCTCGCCGCCCACCCCCTGCTTCTCATGCTCCCGTCTCTTGTCTTCTCTCGTCTCTCTGCTGCTGTCTCTCTCTCTACTCCCCCCAACCCCCGTCTGTCTCCACACACGTCTCTGCTTTCCCCTCTCTCTCCCTGTCCCTTTTGGTCTCTGTTGTTGTCGTCTCTCCGCCCGCCCCCAGCTTGCCAGGGCCAGTATGTGGCGTCAGGATCACGTGAGTGCTTTCCTGGAGTCCTGCCTGCCCATTACCTGGGAGCTCCCAGCAGGAGCCTGGCTGGGGGTGGAGGTGGGGGGGCTGGAGGGGGGGGGCCGTCAAGGAGTTCGGCCCCTGGCCCCTTCTCTTTGCTCCAGGGCCCCTCCCTAGCTACGCCGCAGACACTGCTGGCCCCCAGCCCCAGCATGTGCCCGTGCTCAGGGTCTCTCATGCAGAGGTGGAAGGTGAGCAGGGCTGGACCTGGGGTGCAGGTGCCAGTGGGGCTACAGGCCACCTACACAGCCCCACAGGCAGGGTACAGGCGTGAGCTCTCTTGTGTGCGCTCCTGGGGAGATGGGTGCTGGCTGGCCTGAGGACCGGGGTTAGGTGGCAGGTGCCTGGTCCTCCCTGGGCCCACTCCCCGCAGCCCACCTTGCCCTGCACGCAGGCCGGCTGCCCCCCGAGGATGATGAGTTCTCGGAATACTCGGAGTATGAGGTGGAGGGGTACGAGGACCTGGAAGAGGCTGCCTGGGAGAGTGCAGGTGAGAATGGGGTGCTGAGCCCAGGGACTGACCTCTGACCCCGTTTTACTTCGCACTCCCCCTGCTGACCTCTGACCCCCCACTAGCCTCAGACCCCTGCTCGCTGCCACTGGACGAGGGCGCCTGTGCGGCCTACACTCTGCGCTGGTATCACCGGGTAGGGGCAGGGGGCCCAGGAGCCTGCCGGCCCTTCGTCTACGGCGGCTGCGGGGGCAACGCCAACCGTTTTGGGACCCGCGAGGCTTGTGAGCACCGCTGCCTGCCTCGGGTGCTCCAGAGCCAGGGCGCAGGTAAGACAGGCCCATCCACATCCCCACTGCCTGCCTGGGCCAGCCCCCTGGGGGAGGAGCCCTGGCCAGGTATTGGGTGAGACCCTGGACCCCTTCTGACGGGGAGGGAGGGGGGCACCTGAGACAGACCTCAGGCCAGAGGATGGAATACAGAAGCCTCGTTAGTCCCCAGTGTGGTTCCCCCTCCCTGAGGAACCCCCTGCTCTCTGTTTCAGGGGCCTGAATGTGGAGCCTGTCTGAGAGCAGAGCCCACACTCCCTGGTGTGGCCCAGCCCCTTCCCTCCTTGCCCTCCCTCCTTGCCCCGTCTGTTTCTGTGGCCTGTAAGTCGGGGGAGAAGGTCAGCCAGCTGAAGACACCTTCCATCCACCTTACACAGGTGCCGAGGCGCAGACCGCAAACTGATGTTCGTCCTGGAGGAGTCTTGGCCCCCTCCCCTTGGTGCTAGAGGCCTGTGTGCACGTGGGCGTGCGTGTGCATGTGTCCGTTATTTCAGGGACTCGGTCCCCGTGGGTGGGTCTGGCCTTGCCCCCTGTGGACAAACCCCCATTGTGGTTCCTGCTCCCTGGCACTGACTCACTGTGGGGGTTGGCTATGGCGGAGAGCGGACATGACTGGCGTCTGACCCGCCCTGTGACCCAAGCCTGTGATGACATGGTGCTGATTCTCGGTGGGGAGGGGGGGCATTAAAGCTGCTGTCTTCAAAGACCCTCATTGTGACTCTTTGGGGAGCTGTCGGGCGGGGAAGGGGTGGATGGGGAGGGGGTTTCCTTGGAGACCCAGTACTGCCTGTCCTGTGTGGGTGCGGAGTGCCCCTCTGCCCAACCCTGGTCCCTGTCTGGGATCCTCAGTCCTCAGCTACTTGTCCCCAGGAGAGAATGGATAGGGTGGGGGCTGAGGAGGGATGGTCCCGGCCGACCCCCCGGAGCGGGTGAGTCACAGGTGGAGGACTGCCTGGTGCCAGGAAGTGTGGCCTGGTCCCCAGCCGAGTGGACAGAGGCAGATATATGGGCCCTGAGGTGGGCTGATGGGTCAGAGCACAGGACAGCAGTGCCCGGCCCCAGCCCCGCCAGGCAGCCCTCAGGAGGCCAGTCCAGGTAGGACTTGCCGTCTGGTTAGGATGAGGGCTCAGCAGACCTGGGGATGGGGTAGAGAGGTCTCTGAACCTGGGGGGGCGGGCAGGGGCAGCACAGCCTGGGGTTGCTGACCGCCCTGCTGCTTCAGGGGCTCCCTTGGCAGCCCTTGTCTGAAGGGCACCTCCTGTCTGGGACGCTCTGCTGCTCAGAACCATGGCCTTGGCTTTCGCTCTCCGTGTTTCTCCCTGGTTCTTTGACTGTCTTTATTTCCATCCTTCTGAAAGCTTCTGCAACAGCTCCTGTCTGTCCTTTGTCTGCAGTCTCCCTCCGCCTTTCCCGGTTTCCATCTCAGCCTCTCTCTCTGCCTCTGTCCGACTGAATCTCTGTTCTTGCCTTTGTCCTCTGTGTCTGTGTCTCTATCCCCAGGCCTCCTGGTCTCGCTCCTTCACCTTCTTGCTCTGTTTCTCTGGCCCCTCCGCCCGCTCTCACTCTCTCCCTGCCTGCTCTCCTGCCTGTGTCTCCCTGCCTCTCTATTCTCTTCTCTGTTCTCCCAGCTGCTCGGCTGTGGCTCCTTGCTGACCAGAGGAGCCCCTGGCCTGAGCCTGTTTCCCCCTCACAGCTTGACCACGCAATGACCCGCTGGACTCTGCTGGTGATGACGGCCATTCTGATGTTGGGCAGGGTCCTGGTCATCCCCGTGACCCTGACCCCAGCTCTCCAGCTCTCCTCTCACAATTGTTCCCAGACCGCGCATTGCCCTGTGACCTCGGAGAGGCCCCCAGTCAACACCACAGGCTCCCTCGCTGGCTGGGGCCGCTCCCGCCCGGGCCCACGTATCACCCTCTCGCTGGACGTCCCCCTCGGTCTCCTGAGGATCCTGCTGGAGCAGGCCCGGGTCAGGGCTGCCAAGGAGCAGGCTGCTGCCAACGCCCAAGTCCTGGCCCGTGTGGGCCGCCGCTGATCCTGAGGGATGGGGGTCCCCAAGGACTAAATGATGGGGCCACACATGGACGAGAAGGCCTGGGGGGCAGCGGTAGACCCGACGGCACCATCCCTGGGCACAGTGCCTCTGGTGTGTCAGGAGACACCTGGACACCCCACCGTTAACAGTTGCCCGGGCAGCCTGTTCATTGTCACGTTGGGCCGCCGCCAAGTGCAGCCTAGCCATGTCTGAGTGCTCACAGTCAGAGCGACCCCACTATGCCACTGCCAGGAGCCCAACACAGACCAGGAGCCCAACACAGAAAGACACCTGAGGGTCAACTCCTGCGGTCATACCTGGCCTGCACTGCCCCTCAGCCATCTAGACCCGCTGCACAGATCCATTCCCTGTGAGGGAGCGCCGACCCGGATGGGTGCTGCAGTCAGTCCTTTGGGCTCCCTGGGGGGAAGGAGACTACTGCTGGGGCCCTGGATGTGCCAGCGTGTGAGTGGCTGAGAGTGAGTGTGGTGTACCCCGAGGGCGATGCGCGAGCAGCAAGGCCTGGGTGTGCCCCCAAGACTCCCACAGGCTTCTGTGGCCCTCAGGGCCTCCAGAGAGGCCCAGCTCCACCCCATCCTCCTTGAATTGCCTCTCAGCAAAGGCGCTCACCTTCTGGAACCAGCTTTCCCTTAGGGGGAAGGGCGATGTGGCCAGGCTTCTTGGGAACACTGGATGATAGGTGGCAGGTGAAAGTCCGGGCGTGTGACAGGTGATCAAGCCATGTGCTGTGATTAAAGGCTGGGCTGGATGAGAATCACAGTCATGTTACCCAATGACACATGAGAACACTGAATCACTGCCCTGGCGCCTGCCTCTTCCTCCTCCTCCTCCTCTTCTTCCCATCTCACTGGGCTCTGGGCTCTGGGCTCTGGGCTCTGGAGCTGGGAGGGAGAGGGGATCCACTTTCTGGCCAGTGTGGACAGGCCGGCCTGGGGATGGGCAGGAGCTCTAGGGGGGTGGTGGTGGTGTACACAGCTGGGGATGAGGACAGACCCCCGGCGGCCAGTGCGGGTCGGCTCTGGGGGCAGCGGGGCTGCCTTTGATGGGGACCTGCGGTTGACCTCCACGTTTGTAGAGAGGCCGCCACAACAGCCCTGGGGGGGGCGGGCCTAGGGCGGGCCCGGGAGGGGCGGGGCCGTAGGCAGCCTGCGCCTGTCTTTCCAGCCGTCGTCGCGAGCCAGCCAGCCCCGGTTGACCGACTCCAGGGTCAGGGGGCAGCTCTGGCCAATTCGCGGGCAGGATGGACAGAGGCGCACAAGGAGGCAGCTCCCAGACGGGCCCGCAGCCTGGGAGCGGCGGGCGGGGTAGGCGCCGGGAGGCGTGCGGTGGGTGGAGTATAGGGAAGAGAGCTGGGCTAAATGTGAGTGGTGAGAGAGGGGCGTCTTAGGACATGGGGGAGGGGCGTGTATCTGGGAATAGGGGTGCTCTGGGGGGACGTCAGTCTGTCAGAGGCAGGGGGCTTGGGAATACTCGCCTTGCAGGGGAAAAGGGGCCGGGCCAAGGGGAACTATAAATAGCGTCTTCCTCCAGCCCAGGGAAGGGACAGCCAACTGAAGCTGCCCCGGCCCTCCCACTCTGCCCTTCCCTGGCTTCCAAGGGGTCACTTATGTCCAGGACCCTCCCAGGAGTCACACCAGCTTAGGGGAGCTCTGAGGTTCATCTGGGACCGTTTTTGCTGTGATGGGGCGGTTGCTCTTCAACTAGCATTTGTAAGCCGCCTACTGCATGCCTGTGCCAACCCTGAGCACCTACTGGGCGCACTGTCTCGCTGACCACCCCACTCTGTGGTCTCACCAGTCCTGAGCGACTTGCCAAGCGTCGACTGCCTGCAGGCCCTGTGCCAGGCCTGAATCAGGTGCGACCCGGGGTTCCAAAGGATGCTTGGCCACCTGGCTCCCTGGCCTCCAGTTGGAGCCCCGCTCTCCCTTGTGGCCTCTGGATCTAGGTAAGCAGACCCCATCTGATCTCGGCTGGAAATAGTCGGAGAAGGCCAGGACTCTTGGAACCTCCCAGTGATGGCAGTGGAGAGAGGTGAATGGGGACTGGGAGGGGGCAGGGAGGCAGCAGAGAGCAGCAGGTCCTCTGCCCTCAGCCGCCTCATGTGCACCAGCCTGGTTGCAGGGCTGGTCTGTGTGCTTGCACCTGTGAGTTGGCCCTCGGGCCAGTGTGCTGGACAGGGTGGTGTGGTGGTTCTGTCCGTGCTGCTCGCTGGGAGTCTAGCGCTGAGAACCCAGGAGACTGGGAGGCCCAGTGGTCAGTGCGGAGGACACTGCCCTAGACTCTCTGGGCCAGGCTGGGGAGGCCCTATCCAGGCACCCTCATCCACTCGTGGGGCAGGATAGGGAGTCGACTTTGGGATGCTCCTGAGAGGGAACATCCCTGGAGAACCGGTCATTCTGTTGGGCAGCTACTGATGCTGAGGGGACGGAGAGCGTATTGGTGGCGGGAAGGAGCAGGAGCCCAGGTGCAGAGATGAGGAAGGTGGTGACAGTGTAAGGTGTGTGTGGGGTGGGGTGGGGTTGGGGGGGAGGTGTGTGGCAGGGGTGAGGTTTTGAAGGGCAGAGAGTTAAGCTGGGTCCATCCTCACTTTGTGAGCTGAAGATGAGACTCTGGTCTTTCTTGAGGATCCCCAGCCCGATCCTCCGGCTCCTACCCCTAAGAGGTGAGCACAGGAAGGCCAGGGAGACCACCTTCAGAGCAGATGTGGACTGTGGCCTGGAGGGGGTGCCCTAGGCTGCCCCTACCCTTGCTTATAACTGGGCAGTTACTTGGGAGGGTGTGTCAGGGTCAGCCCACAGTCAGACATTTTTGGGGGAAGAGTGGGAGTTGCAAAACAGCTGCTTTTCTTGAGAAGCCAAACTCAGACAGTATGACCTCTAGAGATGGTCATGACCCCCCTGCTCCATTCCGGCTGCCCTCTACCTACCTTCAGCACTTGATAGCATTCCAGGAGGGCTGGGGAGGGAGAAAAAGGCGGCCTGGGCAGAGGATGGGAGCCTTGCTGTGAGTACTGTGCTGGGTGTTGGACATGGTGTGGGTGGGTGGAATTGAGGTCACACTGAACCCAGGTTGACCATGTCCAGGAGGCAGGAGGCCATGACGGTATCAGGAATGGAAATGAGTGGCTTTGGGGAAGTAGGGAATAGAGGAGTGACCACGAGGGACAGCCTGCTCATCAGGGGCCACCCATAGGTGTGTTCGGAACGCTTGGGCTTGAGGTGAGGGATGGGCTCTCGAGGAAGGAGGAAGTGTTTGCCTGGGCCTGGTGCAGGGCATTCCCCAAGGAGAACTGGTCCTTTGTTTCTTGTAAAGTAGGTGAGGCATTCCACATCAGAGTCATCTTAGGAACCTGTATCAGGCTCTCCAGGGCCGGACTGTGACCCAGAGGACCGACTCAAGGCAGGGTGGGACAGGAGAGCAGGAGGAGGAGGCATGGTACCCAGCTCTGCTCGCTTTCTTGGGATCATGGCAGGGATGTGGTAAGGAAGACCACTAGAGGGCAGTGTGACTCAGTGTTGGTGGGGCCCCAGCCCCATTTCTGCTGGGGAGCCAGCCTGCAGCAGCTGGATGGGGACCAAACTAGACAGTCCGCCAGGGGTTCCTTAACTTTTGGACCCCTCCTTTGTACCTTGATCCGACTGCATTTTCAGAGATAAGAGGGATCTCTAACCCATTCAATAAATGATAGCCCTAACATGGACTCCCTGGTTGGCAAAAATAGTTCATGAGCTCAGCTGCTATAAGGTTGGAGGGCTGAGTCAGAGGCACCTTTGAAGAAAGGCCTGGCAACCCGTAGCCCCCAAACTCCCAGCCACTGAACTCTAATGAGCACTCAACGGCCAAACCAAACTCGCTGCCGTCAACTTGATTCTAACTGGTAGCAACCCTAGGACAGAGACAAGATAACCGCCCCGTGGGTTTCCAAGGCTGTAGATCTTTACAAGAGTAGAAAGCATCGTTTTTCTCCTGGGGAGCGACTGCGCATTTCAAACTAATGACCTTTCCCTTAGTAACTCCTTACGCCAACCAGGGCTGCTGCCTTTCCCTCCTGAGAAATTAGTGGTTTTGAACTGCTCATAGTAACTCACTCCCCACCACTACCACTACCCACCAACTCACTACCACTTCTGTGGCGCGCGGTTCTATTCTAATGCTGAGTCAGGGCCGACTCCACTGCCCTGGCAGAGATGGGCGCACCTAATATATACCAGACCTTGCAAGATTAATGTGCCGGGATCACATGTTTCCTGGTAAAAAGACGGAACCAAATTCACTGCCACCGAGTCGATTCCAGCTCATAGCGACCCCATAAGACGAGGTTTCTAAGATTGCAAATCCTTACGGGAGTGAAAAGCCCCGTCTTTCTCCCCGGAGCAGCTAGTAGTTTTGAACTGCTGACCCTGAGGTTTGCAGCCAAACGCATAACCCTCTATACCACCAGGTCTCTGGGGGTGGGTGGGGGTGAAAGACTGAAACTCATTTGAAAAGAATGCTCAAGATTAAAGATTCAGTCTCGAAGGAGAGATATGATGCTGCCGGGACTTAGCTGGGGTACGGAGCGTGCTGTACGCGATGTGCGCACTTCTTCCAGTTGGGCTTAGCAGGAGCTCCGCAGCAGCCAAGGAAAAGAGGGAAACTGCCGTCAATTTTGAGACCCGTTCTGTATCCCAGTCCGTGACATAAAGGAGCTTTTCCAGCGTAGGTGTGCAGATTGCTGCTGTGGGAGGGGAGAGCAGAGGTGCACCAGCTGGCCAGGCACCGTGTTGTTGACGACCAGGATGGGTCCTGACCAATCGGGCCCGCGGGTCGCTCAGGCCCCGCCCCGCTGCACGCAAGCCCCTCCTTCCCGAGGGAACCAGGACTTGGCGAAGCCCAGAGCAGAATGCCTTGGGGGCGGAGCTGCAGTTCCCGGGGCGGGGCCCAGGGGGCAGGGAGTATGCAAATAAACACGGTCGGGTTGGCTGTGCTGGAACTTGTTCATCCAGGGCGGGGCCTGTATTATCCGGGCCTTGAGCGTGTGAGGAGTTGGGCATGCGTATTTCCGATCCGGGCCCGAGGGGCGGGGCTTGCTGGGGTCGTTACGGGTCTTAAGACGAGTTGGGCATGCGTAGTCTTTGGCTAGCCCTCCTGTTAGGGTGGAGCCTACTCGTTCTAGGGCGGGGCCTGCGGAGAGTTGGGCACGGTTCGAGGAGGGGCGGGGCCCGAGGGGTGGGGCCTCGGTGGCCCGGCAGCTGGGTCGGCCGCCGAGCATTCCGGCTCCGCTAGGCTCTGTGATGGCGTCCCCGCGGGAGCTGACCCAGAACCCCCTGAAGAAGATCTGGATGCCGTACAGCAATGGGCGGCCCGCCCTGCACGCCTGCCAGCGCGGTGGTGAGGCGGGGTCCGCAGGGAGCGGGGAGGGAGGTGCACGGGAAGGATGGCTTGGGCGGGGGTCTCGCGTGGAGACAGGGCCAGGGGCAGGTGAGGCAGCCGGAATGGTGTAGGAACAGGGACAGGTATGGCAGAGCAGGGGGGCGGGGATAGGTGTGTGATGGCGTGTCAGTCCTGTAGGTGCTAACCTGGCCGCCATCACCTCTGAGAGCAAACCCACCGGTCCACACCCTACCCTGTCTCCGCTGCCGCCGCCGGCCAAGCAAAGACCCAGCTCAGACCCGTGTTAGTCCTGGCCCCGGACCTTCTTTCCGGCGTGGAGCACATTGGCGGGTCTGAGCTGTGTGGCCCCAGGTCAGTCTCTTGGCCTCTCTGGGACAGGACCTTTCAAAGGCTTGATGGTGGGCTAGTGCAGGCTCGAGGAGGAGGAAATGACCCTTGGTCTTCTGCACCCACTCCTGGGAGAGGAATGGCCGTGATAATAGTGTGTCTGGATTGTTCCACCTTGCACTCAGGATCAGGACACTCGGGGGTCTACCTCTGTGTGTGTGTGTGAAGCCATGTGGGGTCATGTATGTAGTAAATTGGGGAACAGAACTTGGGGGGTGGGGGACTCGTGACATTGCTAAGGTGCTCCTCTCCAGGACGCATAGGCATTTAAATCTCCCTTCTTGAGTGTTCCACGTGTTCTGAAGTGAGTCTGCAGCATTTTTTATGACCAGGAAAAAGAACTGCTGTATTGTAATGAGCCTGTCAGTTGGCCAGGCTCTCAGAGAACATCTAGTTCCGCGCACCCAAACCGTGTGGAAATGGAGATTCGGAGATTGTGTGGTGTGCCAGGATCTCCCTGCACTCCCGCCCTCTGCAAGGATGTGATAAGGGCCCTTGAAGACTGTTCTCCCCTGGGGGGTTGTGGCTCGGATCCTGCTGCTGTGCTTTGTGTGGGAGGAGGGCGTGTCTCTAGTCCCGAGGTGGGTCCTGGCCAGGGGCGAGGCTGCGACCATTCTCTTAGCCCTGGGGCTGTGAGCACATCCATGCTCTGTGTCCTGAGGAGCTGTGGCTACAGGACTTCCCGGGTGCTTTTCTGAAAGCCCCTTTTGCTTGTGCTGCCAGCCAGTCTGTGGCACTGATTAGGGGACACTGCTGTTACTACCTAAAGAGGAGGCAGTGGGGACCTAGATCTCTGAAGGCTGGGACACTTGAGCCCTGTCCTGACCCGGCTGTGTGGCCTCGGGCCAGGTGAGCACTGTCCAGGCCTCAGGTTTCCCCTCTGTGGGCTGGGAGCTGCTGCCCGCTCTTCTCTGTAATGCTGCCCTGAGCCTCAGTCAAGCAGGTGGTTGATAAATGGTAGCAGGTAGTTTATCACCACCACCACCACCATCACCACCACCATTCTGTCTACATCTTGCTGCCGAGGTCAGGGGTGAAATCTCAGCTCCCAGCCAGCCCTCCCTTCTGGACCTGTGGACCCTGTGATCAGATGTGGGGAGCCTCCTTGCATTTGGAGATCCTGGGTCACCTCGGCTCACAACACACGGCAGCTCAGACGGGGGCTGAAAATGCCTGTCCTGGTCTTACCAGGGCCCTGTGAGAGGCTGTCTCCCACTCCACCCCCACCCCCCAACCCATCTCTCTGAGAACCTGTCCCCTTCACGAATGGTTTCTTCCTAACTGTGTGGAGGGCGAGTTCTGGGCTGCAGGTGCTCGGAGAATCGTCTGCCCCATGCAGACTTGCTCAGGTGCCCTGGTCCCAGCTGGGTTCACTGCACCCTGACAGAAATCACAGGTCATTGGGGAGGCAATTAGGGGGAGAGCAGTGACCAGTAGACTCCAGCACAGGAGGAGGCGAAGTCTGCAGGTGATACAGGGTTTGGACCCCAAGCTGGGGGGCCCCCAGATGCACTGCAGGGAGTAAGCCATGAATAAACTCGGAGACACCCCTGCAGCACCTGCCCTGCATGGGTGCGGCCCAGGTGAGTTCTTGATAGGTCTGAGGGGCACCACCGGGAGAGGTGAGGATCCTGAGCACAGGCAGGCGGGAGCTGGCTTGATCAGAAGGCCTGTGCCTGACTTGTGGGATCAGAATGGGGAATTGGTTGGGGTGGCAGTGGGGAGCCTTCAGCATCGGGGTGGCTGATGAGGACTGGGTCTCTTCCGTCCATTCTCCATCTGCAGAGCCCTGCCCCCTTAATGAAGTCCAACACCACACCTGAGGGTTGGCCCCTCAGTTCAGACCTGGAGGAGCGCTGAGGACAGGCGGGGAAGGCGGAACCCAAAGGGCACAGAAGGGAGGGCAGGGTCTTTGTGGCCTTTCTCAGCCCAAAGGTGGCGAGACCCCCCCCTAGTGGAGGACCCGGTGGCATTGTGCCCTGGGGGCAAAGGGATAGGACTTTCTGCCCTCTGACTGTCGGGGACCCTGATGCCAAGCTGCCGCGTGGAAAGAGCCCTTCCTCCCCAAGGAGGTGGGAGCAGGCCCACTCTGGGGCCGCTTGGGACCCCCAGAAGCAGGCTCTGCCCCAGTGCCGGGCCTGTCTCAGGGATCTTGGCTCTCAGGACATTCCAATTTACCAGAAAGAGAACCCACGAGGGCGGCGGGGTTGCCCTGTGTGCACATTTCCTTCCGCAAGTGTTTTGTGTCGAAAGCAGTGCTGCCCTGTCTGGTTTGCTCAATGCCCCATCGGTGGGGGTGGGGGTGGGGCCCCCAGCTGCGTTCCTAGGCCCCTCCCGCCTCCCTCCCTTGGCCACGTGCGGAGCATGTGCTCCACATCCCCTCCTGGTGTGCTTCCCGCCACTGCTGGGATGCTCCTGGTGGTGTGCTCTGGTAAGCAGAGCTGCGGCACACATACTTGTTTGGGTACACAACAAGGGCAATATGTGACCCCTGACCCCGGCTCCTCAAGATAAGCTCCCACGGGAAACCAAAGTTCATCCTGAGGAGCCGGGGTCAGGGGGGTCACTTATTGCCCCTGCTCTGCGCCCAGCCGGATTTGCCGCCTGGCCCACCCAGGGCTGGGCTGAGTGCCCACGTGTGCGGGGATGGGAGACGTCTCTGAGAAGACAGAGATGTGAAGAGAGGGGTCCACACAGGTGTGCCCTTGAGGGAGCGTTACTGATCACCAAGGGTGGGCAAGCCCTTTGGGCAGCACTGCTCAGCGATGGCAGAGAGCCCCGGCCGGCTGGGAGTCGTGTTAGCCACGCAGGCCCCAGTTGTCCGCTGGCCCACACAACCGCCGCCCTTTGCCCGACTTGTTTTTCCTCTTTCTCACCAATACTGTGGTTTTTCTGCAAGGTCCGTCTTGCTCGGTGCCCGCCTGTGCTCTGTCTTCCATCGCCCCACCCCCAGCCTCTGAGTTTGGGGCACGTGTGCCCCAAAGGCTGTGCTCAGGAGCGATGGGTCCCCCGAGTGAGCAGGGCCAGGGCCCTGTGCTTTTCCGCAGACCTTCTGGGACACAGACGGGTGCCTCCTTGCCTCGGGTCCCAAGGTCAGGCGGTGCTGAGGCACAGCTGCCTCCCCTCCTTCGGCGGGCGCGCTGCCAGGGCAGGGCAGAGGGCACAGCCTCCCTGGTGCTCAGGCTCCAGCCCAAAGACATGCTAGTCTCACTCCGGGGGTGCTGTCATCCCTTTCACAGGTGGGGACACTTCGGCCCAGAGCTGCCAGTAAATGGCAGAGTGGAGACTGGAACCCAGGCCCGTTTGACCCCTGGCCCCAGGCAGGCCTGCCCTGGGGGCCTCCGCTGAACAGGTTGAGGGCCGGGGTCTAACAGACTGCCAGGTGAAGGCATTTACAAAACTCAGCAGGTGGTAGAGAAGAGCTGAGACAGGTCCCTGACCCAGGCCCCGAGGGCCCCCTGAGGCTTTGGAGGTGAGGAGACACTGAAAGCTAGGTCGTTTTGCTACCTGTCGTCTGTCCTGACCAGCGGGGATGAGAGGCTGCTGTCAGACCCACCT